TAAGACCAGGGACCCGGAGGGAGGGGCAGGTGCAGCTCTCCAGGCCAAGGTGGCAAGAGAGGAAAGAACGGAGGTGGGAAGGAAGAGTCAGTGTGGGTCACCATCCCAGCTCAGGGGTCACCTTGGTATAGGACAGGAGTAACCTTGGAGAGAGGGGCTGGGGCTGGGTGTGGAGTGCCCGCCAGGCAAGCTGACAGGTACACTCATGGAAATCATTGACAGGCTCTAGCAGTGGTTCTCAACCTGTGGGTCGCGACCATTGGAAAACACATAGAGCATATCACGTGTTTACATTACGATTCATAACAGTAGCAAAATTACAGTTATGGAGTAGCAAAGAAAATAATTTTATGGTTGGGGGTCACCATAACATGAGGAACTGTGTTAAAGGGTCGCGGCATTAGGAAGGTTGAGAACCACTGTGAGAGTGCTGATTTAGAAAACGTCAACTTCTGGCCTGAAGGATGATAGGACAGTGGCAAGAAGAAAAATTTTAAATGGGTTAAAAGTAGAAAAGGAATATTAAGATAGAGGCCTTAAATCAGAGCAGCCTTGGGAGGACAAAAAGAAATACTTGGGTGTAAGCTAATGCGGCTCATAGGAATCTGGTGGATCTGAGAAGCTGGAAACGACTAACTACCTTCAACCAACTTCAAAAACACAGAGTGTTCTCTGTTTTTCATGTCAACAGGAGGATTGACATGCTTACAATTAGCTTTGGCATAAAGAAAAGTACACTGGAGCATGTTAATCTTCATTTCACTCTGGCTGCTATATATACACATTAAGATATTAAAGTCATGCCTGTAAAAATCTTATTTTTAATTTCCCCAGAGTTTGAGCTTAGGAACAATGACTAAGTGAGGCCAACCTCTGAAATTCAATGGGAGAAGTAAAGCCAAATGCCCCATTTAAACTAGTTTCAAAACTATTATTTTCTAGATACCTCAAGGGGGTATCAGGCATTAGTGTATAACAATGATCCTAAGTGCTCAGAGGTAATAAGTGGATAACTGGCACAGTAATTTATGTTTAGAAACACAACAGAACTTCATAATCCCAAATTTGCTCTTGGCTTTTTAAGAAATGCTTTGCTGGCTAGTTTTATTTTTCCTTTTCTTTTTTGAACCTGGATTTCATTAAAAAATAAAAACTGACATATTACGTGTACTTAGATTCCTAAATTGCTCCAGCAGCCTGTTTCACCCACATCACACAGCTTCTGGTTCCAATAGTGCATGTTCTAGGCCTCAGAGAATAGGTCCAAAAGATAGCGAAATGAAAGGAGGAGGAGGAAAGTCTTTCACCCTCCCTTGAGTCACGAAGTACCCTAAGCATTCGTTTGAAGGAGTGTGTTGAGTCCTAGGTGACGCGCTCCCACGGGTGAGCACCCCAGCTCCTCCACTGGCTCTCCACTTTCTGGCCACCACAGCAGGACAGGAGATATCCCATTTGAGATTCTGAGGGCTCCAATTTCTTGGGCCCCACGCAATGGACATATCTTTCTCTGAATCAAAACTTCCATTCATTTATTGCATCTATCCAGAGCTCAGTGGAAAGAAAGGCTGTAGCTCTAAGCATTCTGTCCACCCCTATCGCCACCAGAATGAATGAAAGGGGGCTTTGTGTCTTCCGGAGACATTTGTGATCAGGTGATATTAAATTTAATTGCTTTGTTACTGCTACCACTGTACTTTTTTTCTCACTTCCATTAAGCCTCACCTTTCTCATTCGCAACTTACCTCGCTAGTTCTAAATATTATTCGGTAGTTGTAAGGAGATCCATTTTCTTTCATTTCTTCTGGTTTTTCCCTTCGAATGCTCACAGCCACTGGACCAAGATTCTCATCAGCCCCAAAATAGTTCCAGTGTTCTTAAGTAAAATAAGACAAAACAAAATTAAAATGTGATGTTGTGCTGGACATTCAGATCACTCAGAAATTATATCAATAAAATGCGAACACACTGAACAAACATCAATATTCTTCGATGTGTTATAAAAACAAGGCCTTGGCTACACAGGTATAGTTTTAGAGCAGGTAACACTGAAGAGAGGTGGCCTGTTGAGTTTCTTTGCTTTTTCTCCCTACATTCTACCATTTATATAGGCTACACTATGTGTTCTTCCTTGCCGAAGGGAAAGTTTGTGTCTGAGATATTCAGTTTTTCTTTAAAACAAAACAAACAAAAAATCCCCCAAGTCTATTGAAAACAGAGTTTGAAGACAGAGGGACTTCCCCAAGATTGAAAAAACATTTCCCTGGATTGGAGCAGAAGGTCTGTGCATCACTGAGCAGCACTCTGGTCCCAGGGAGCCCAGGGACAACGGCAAAGGGGCTCGGAGAAAAGAGCTCCGTCCCAGAGCACTGGGCCTCACCAATGGCTGTCCATATAGTGAGCACCAATGCATCCCACGAGGCCACTGGACCCGGAGGGCATGTGTGCTCTGGGACAACGGGCCTCTCCTAGGTAACCTGTGTGGCCAGGTGACTTATTATGATTCAGAGAATTCTCTTCAAGACCCCAAACGTTAGCAGAACCTTGGGGGAAGTCTCCTTATGACTGATTTACTTTCCTCCTGACAAGAACGAAGGTCAGGATCAAAATTAAATGAATTTACAGAAAATTTTAAAAAGTGATTTTTACTATGCACCTGTGTATGTGTGCATACACTCTTTTAAAATTTTAAAAATTGATATATGAGGTGTTCACAAATGAGGAAGTCCATAAAACACAGAAATATATGAAAAGCTAGAGTAAATAACCCATTTTTCAAACTTCCAAAACACTTACTTTACACCATTCTGTATCATTTACATGTGACATGACTATATGAGTTATGACATGGTATGTTATTCTCATACAAAATGCATAACATTTGAAAATATACATTATTCCCATACAAAATCCTGAGAATTAGAAATTACAGCATAAAACATTGAATCTGTAGTTTTAAAATTTAGGTAATACATATGAAAATACTTTGCAAGTACTAAAGATCAACTATAAAGGATATAATCATAAATATTGAGGGCTCTTTAAGAAGGTTATCATAATCTATGGAGATTCAAAAAAGAAAAGCACGTGGAAATACAGGAACAAACATCTCATATACAACTGAGAAACAACCCAATAAATGTCACAAAATCTATGTACAAACACTCAGGTCCATCCTCAAAGCACAGCTGTGAGAATCACACTCAGAGGTGATTGACTCTTACTTTGCACATAATTTTAATAAGCTTGGCTGTCTGGTCTTCAAGCCCAGAGGTGTGATAGTTCCAGATGCTGACAAAGTCCAGAGTGTAGGGCTGATACAGACTTGCATGCAGACAGCAATGTGATGGAACAACTGACAACAAGGAAGAAAACAGAAAGGGAGAAGGCTGAAATAGTATAAGAAAGCAGACAAGAACTTAAAGAATAACAGACAGCAGTCCGGGGCCATTCACACTTCAGTAACTTCAGAGGGTAATTTTAAAAAAAAAGTTTTTTACTGATTTTAGACAGAGAGATAACGAGAGGCGGAGGGAGGGACCCACACACCCCTACTGGGGGATCGAGCCCACAACCCAGGCATGTGTCCTGACCAGGCAACCTCTTGGCTCATGGACTGACGCTCAACTACTGAGCCACACCGGCCGGGCAAGAAGATAATTCAATACTGCAGCACAGAACGACAGTGGAGGGATCAAGATGAGTGTGAGATACATCCATTACATTCTTTTTCTTGCATGTCAGGGATTCAACTGAAAGCCAACTCTCTAGGAACTTCTTACTCACACCCAACACATCTCAGGAAGTGCAGGTGAGACTGCTGTCTCTACTGCGGGGAAATTCATAAATATGTATCTCAGGCCACGGCCAATTCTTCTTCAGCAACTTCAACTCATTCCCAAGCTGTCCCTGACCAGCTCCCCTTCTCCAGAGCAGATATTTCAAACATTCTCCGTTCTCCTTCAACCTTCCCGCACCTGCTTTCACCCGAATCCCAGCACATGCTAATGCTGTCTAAATCACAGAGAAAACGAAGAAGCCCCTTCAGAAGCCAATGTCCTCATTTCCCATCATACTTGCAAACTTACCTGGATCCAGACCTTTGCTTCCTTTTCTTTACAACCCAGAACTCAATCTCACCCTAAAGGCTGACCTCCACGCAGTCCACCTTCCCAGGGGCTCTGATGCCTTGACTACCCTCCCTTGACCTTTGACTTCTCCCTCTCTATTCACTGATTTCCATCATCACTTGATCAAGCTCAAGTCTTCTTTATCTTTAAATATAACACACCGGCAACACTTTTATCCTCCTTCAGGAATTCTTGAAAGGGCTGCCTAATTCCTCACCTTAGAATTACTATAATCTGACTTCCACTGCAGTAACCAATGATAGCCTTAAAGTTAAAAACAAATTGATAGGTTGGTCCTTATCTCGCTCAAACTCTCCCTAACATTTGCCACAGTGGATCACTTCATTTTTTTTTCTAGAAGCACTCTTCCTGGCTTCTGTGACAGCACTCTCTCCTGATTTTCCTTCTATCACTCTGGCTATTACTCAGTTTCCCTTCCTCTTCCCATCCTGAATATTCACTCTCAGAACTTCAACTGCCATCTCAATGCTGCTTATGGTCAAAAGTCTACATGCTCACTCCAGGCCTCTCTGAGCCCTCAATCTCTGCATCTACCTAGTGGAACGCTATTTGTCCGTCCTGTGGACATCTGCAAAAGTGACCCCATCACCTTCCACCAAACCTACGAAGCTCTCCCTGCAGCCTGATTTTTACCGACTGCTACTACATTCACCTCATTGCTCATACCAGATTCAGTGTCATGCCTGCAAACTGAAGTTCTTACAGCTCTCTTAAATCTATCTACTTAGTCCACCCCTTAGCCACTGACTTCCCCATCACCATTTGCCTGGATGTTTGTAAATCCTCTACCTGGTTTGCTTTTATCCAATTAGTTTACATAGCAGCCAGATGACCCTTGTAGAATGCAAATCTGACCATCACTACTAAGTTTAAAATCCTTCCCAGGGTTTCCCAAGGGCCCTGGCATACTTTCATGGCTTCCCAAAGCCCTCCGAACCTGTCACCAGCCTACTACTCATTTCAACTTAGACCTTTCCATCATCCTCTCAACAGAGGACCTCTGACACGGAACTTCTCTGTTGTTCAAACTCACTCTGCCCTTTCTCACCTAAAAAATTCTATCCAAACATTCTTCCCACAACAACTCTTTATTTGACCAAGTCCTCTCATCCTCCATGTCTAATCTGAAATATTACTTAGACATCCTCTAAAAGAGTGATTGAATACTTTAGCACAATGAAAGTGTTTACTTGGTATATTAAAACTAATACTTTATTTCAAACTGTTAAAATTCATAAAAATACAAACTAGTGAAACCAAATATTTAACACATTTCAAATACAAAAATTTAAAAATGTTACAACACAAAAATGTAAATTTATAAAAATATAAATATTAAACACAATCATCTTAGTATAAATTATCAGATAAAATAAGTGTTATCTTAAAATGAAACTAAACTCTACATAAAAATGACAACTGTTCATTTTTTAAAAACCAAAAAATTAAAGATCATTTAAATGGTTTTTTTTGTGTATGTGTCATCATCAACACTGACTTTTTTTGTGCAATTTTCCCCAGCTGCTTAGGAAGTACATTTCTGAGTTGGGGGAATGGTGATGAGAAAATTATACACTAACTTTCTAACACTTTCTTCAGAATCTATCTTTAAACACACTCATCTCTGGTTTGATAACTCTGGGAAGAGCTTTCAAAACTTATGTGTGTTTGTGCAGAAACATCCATCCTTTTTTACTAAAAGAGAACTCTAGCTATTATATCCAAAAAAGCATTTCCATTGGCCTTCAACTACTTCAGTTTCATTGGTGTAGAAGATTCTGGGCTGGTTTCCTGTGTTAAATTCACTACTATCATGATTAGACTCTGCTTATTCAAAAAGTCAACTTGAGTAAGTATTATTCTTACAGTAACACCCTTGTTTTGTTTTTGTCCACTGTTTGCTCCTAACAGACACACAAACACTTGATTTCATTCAAAATCCTAATGCAGTGCAGAGGAGGCTGGGTCAGCAGTCACCTTAGATTGAATTTTCAAGTCCTTAAACTTTGATCTCAAGACAAATGACTCAGATTTTTTTTCTTTAACTAAAACACCAGCCTTTTAGAGATGCCTTCAGTCTAGTCCTTCTGGCCTGTCCCTTGATGTCACTGGCCTGCAGTCCCGTCCCCTCAGACCACAGCCTTTGGGCAGCACTTCTTACCTGCTCCAGGCTGCAGCATCTTTCTATTCCTACCAGCCATTTACCTCCTTCCTTCACTAATGGAGCTATCCACCAATTGCAGAGAGCTCTTCCAGCCAGACCCACAATCAGCTCTGCCTTTATGGAAGGGGAAGAGAAGGAGCCAGGACAGGGGAGCCGCAGCCTATGAGTATTAAGAAAGGCTGGGAGCCCTGGATGAGAGAATTTGGGAGGATGAAAGCCAGAGGAAGGGAAGAGGAATTGGATGGTCAGGTGGGTAAATCTGCTAATGGATGACTTGAAATGCAGGTTTTACATTATTACATGACCAAAAATAATGAGATTTTAGTGCCAGCATACTGGAATGCCTCAAACCAATACTGCAATCACTATATTAGATACAATGCAGCAAAGTGAGGCCCTTTGCCAAGCACTCCAATATTCATATCGAACCATGGAAATACAGTATTTCCTTCGTTTTTATAGATATGGAAACTATGATTTAGAGAGAGCAAGCCACTTCCCAGCCACAGCTAGTAAACGGCAGTGCCAGAGTTCAAACACATTATTTGAACTACTGATTCC